TATCCAGGTTATGAATCTCAAACACAAGTTTCAAAAGATCATAAGAAAAGAACAAACTCATGTTACCTTTACAATATTAGCATCAACTTCCCCTTGACAGCTATCAAAGTATTTTTTCAAATCCTGTATAAAAATTTTAATAAAAAAGTATGACAATGATAGCTCTTATAAGGCAACAAAATAATATGGTAAAGTTTAAAGTAGACTTTTCAAATAATGCAGCTTAACTGATAAACATTTAAAACCTCCTTGTATGTATAATGTATCCTGTGATTTTTGTTAACCAGACAGGGTCTTCTACAACCCAGCACAAGTGTATAAATGAACTAAATCTAATGTATAGAAATTTCGGCAGAGGAAGTCACCTAGCTGGTCACAGTACTCAAAAACCAAAGTAAGTTTTTTCTCACTTTCATAACATCATTAATTTAATCTGAAACAAAAACACAAACAAAATATTTTATATGGCCAACAAGTATGATTTACTTGTATAGGTTGTATTTGGTAAAAAATGTGCTTCTCAGTATTGAGACACAAATTATCACATTAACTTGCCTGACAATGTTCTTGTGTTTTAATTCTTTCAGTAGACAGATCTCTCGTAATGCCGAGCTGGGTACACCCTGATGTACAATTGATTGGATAAGATAGACTACCAAATATATTAGTCCACTAACATTTGGCAACTTTGTCCAGCCTAGGCTAGGTCTACTTCATTCCAATATCAAATATAAAGGAAAGAGGCATGGTAGGAGACAAAATAAATGAAGCAGTCAAATGCCTATTGCTCTGGATATACCAATATATTAGGATCCAGTCATTGTTACTCTGAGCACCTTGTTTAGTTTCATGTCAGACAACCTATTATTAATACAGTAATACCAGTTAATCAGTAATATATTCCTGGATTTGGCCTTAATTCACCTCATCATCATCATCCAAACGAACTCTTTTTAGTGCTACAATCTCATGAGTTTCTTTATTCTTGGCTTTAAACACAGTTCCATATGTACCTATTTCAGAGATTATTGAGTGATGTTTGAAATTTTGCTAAAATTGGATGAGCTGCTGCCAGGGTACATCTAATTGTGGCAAATTTTTAACATCACAAGTGAGCGAATACTCCAGATATGATATTGTCCAAGTAAGCACAGGCCTCCAACTGACATTACCAGTTAATTACTTGTATTAAAAAGATATTTAGATATTTCTAAAGCCCTGTTTATGCTATTAAATAAGACCGGGCTTCAATACTTTGTCATCATTGCCATGCTTATACACTGGGTAAAAAGTAAACGAGCCTGATTCATCTACAATTTCTTATGTTTACAATTCCTAAGATAAAGTTAAAACATTAACTGAAGTACTCGAAGCATATACAAGGTGCAAAGTACATTTATAACTCGAGGACGAATGAATATTATAAACAAATACCTTCCCCGATTTTTTCAAGTTTTTCATATTCTGCATCACAGTGAATACCGATAATCACGAAATAAATAAAGCAGTTGTTATCACTTCGTATTAACTTTATCCTCTGTGTTTATTATTTTCATTCATATACTGTCATCCGGTATAATAAAAGGTATTCAACGATGTTGATACTGCGATAGGAATGAACTGATCATATTTCGTTCGTTAAATAAACGTATTATTTAATACAGTATAAATAAACCAGTGATGTAAACATTATTTGACCTTCCCTTCCCTAGATACGACTGACCTCCTTCTGTCCTTCAGACCTGCGAACAGGACCAACAGGTCAGTTTTCGACTGAAAAATTAAAGTTGAAGAAAAGTGGTTTTGAATTACAATCTTTATTATTGTAAACTGCGTGGAATCAATTCCAATTCTACTTAGTAAAAGTTGCCGTGTTAAGTGAGAAAATGCCAAAAATTATGGGACTTTTCTGGATTTTCGATTACGTTCTTTGCGGAGTACATGCCATGCGCGGGCGTTTACCCGCGGCTTCCAGCAGACCGAATAAAATATTCAGTTACTCGGAAAAAATACATTTGGCATTGCTTTGGAGTGTGTGTTTCCGACACGCATAAAGCACTTCTAGCGTATTCTAGTGTCAATGGAGAACCGTTAGGAAAACATTTATCTGTGTATAGTAAACACAGTGATTTTGTGGTGAAGATTTACTGAAGGAAACACGGGAACTGAATATATATGAGCTGGCATCATAAATAAGGTAAGCACTTGTAATTTGACGACCGCTATATTTCAACACAGGTTTCTAAATATTGGATATACGGTTTCATTTTATTCTTGATAATTGTGACATTTTGCCACTGAGAACATTTTATGAAAGAACATTTTATGAGTAAAACTGTGCGTTGTATAAGTTGGAAATAAAATTAGAAATTCATAGACGAGTGTTTATTCAGTCAATAAATTTTAGTTCTGATCTGTAGGGTATTATCAGATTCAATATTTGCATCAAATTTGCCACGGTTTTTTAGTGTTTTGAGTGTCACTTGCTGGGCAACGAAAGCGTTCCCATTTTACTAGTTGGAATTTTCGGCAATTTTACCTGGCATTTCGTGTATGGTTTTCCAATTTAATATTAGTAATTAATTGGGTCTTAAACTTGACAATTACGATGGAATGCTTAAATTGTGTACGAGATCGTACAATACACGGCTTTTGTTATTTTAAAGTTTACCAATTCGAATGTTGCAACAAATTATAACGTGGCTAAATTTCGTTTTTAGGGTAGTTTCACAATGTAATGTTTGTAAATTATATACACACGTGTTATGATTGTCATAGAATGTACACATTATAGTTGTCAACAAAATGTATAACTGTGTCCTTGAATGCACACTAAGAGTATAGAAGATTCTGAGAATGCAGACAATGGTTGTTGCATTTAGATTCTTCAGGTGCAGAATGGCCACTTAATTTCTTAATAAGGTTTGAGCATATTGATAACAATGTCAGACTTTTAGTTTACCTGCTCATTAGGTACCTGTGGCATGTACAGTGTGTAGATTAATTTGACATTATAGAAAAGGTACAATATGTTTGTGCATCAATGCTCTATGATTCAATTGCAGTTGTATTAATTACAGTGCTAATTATTAAAGTTCAGATACTTACCCATTCTTGTAATTATTGTCAGCATGTAGTTGAAGTACATATAGCGACCATTCAATATAGGCTAATTAAGCACCACTCTACATGTCAAGTGGATCTCGAACTTAAGATTTAGAATTGCAATCCTGGGATTGCAGTTCCAAAAACCTAGAATTAAATTATATTTTTTAACAATTTGTATGAGATTAATTTATATGAGATCCATACTGATCTATAAAAAATCTATATTGTAAAGCATAATGATTAGTAAGATTCAAACCATCACAATTTAAAATGTACCTCCTGATTAATGAAAACATAGTCATTGCATATCATCTATTTTCTTATTTAGTCTGATCCTAGTCTGGAGTGCAAACCTTTTTCCCACAGTTTTTAATAACCTTTTAAAGACCTCTCAAAAAACTATTTCTTATTCTTAACTATAGTCTATTAGTACAAAAAAGAAGTGATTGTCTTTCATGCACTTAGTTCATTCATAATAGTTCTCACTCTGAGAAAGAGAGTACTCTCTCTGGCCCCTAAAGGCACTTTAAATAATTCCTAGTCCTGACCCAATGTTGTTTTATGCAAATCCTTTGCAATACTGTATCCTAATTCTATTTTAAAGAATTCCTTTCCTCTGCAATTCGTTGTGGTGTTTGAGCACTGTTCACACCCCCAATAGGATTATCCCCACACATGCAGGTATCTCATCATCATCAGTTAATGAGAACTTCCAGGCACTTTGTTATTGAAATAATAATAATAGTTCTCTTAAGGATTCTTTGGATTTGATACAGTTTTTTTGTGAGTTCAGAAATGAAATAACTAATAAGATCACTTGTGTGGTATATAACGCACCATCATTGGGACATGAATCTGACCATTTTTGGAAATCTTCCTTTTTACTCAGTCAGGAAAAATGGCTATCAAGTGGGTGTTGCACCAATTGCTTAAATTTTGCATTTAGCAAAAGTTGGCGAAATGATATTTAAGGTTATTAATAATATTAAATTAAAAAATATTCCCACTTTGTCTGGTAATCACCAAGTAAATGGTTATAATATAAATAAAAAAAAATTATTGTTGCATTCATCATAATTGCATAGTTAGCACTTATCTTTATGATAAAAAAACGGATATTGTTAAAGGATTGGGTTTGTTAGCGAATACCAAAAATGGACTTTATAGTGGTTTTTTAACGAATTGTGAAAGCATATCTTCAATTTTTATGTTTGTGTTTTATAACTATGGAAAAGAAATATTCTGTGTTTGAGAAGTTGGGAGTGCCAGAAATGAATAAAATGTAACTCTGCGATAATTTAACTACGTAACTGCTAAACTGCACGCATCTTCTCAGGAAATGCTCGGCTAATTATTATTAATATTTATAATTATTTATATAAATCATGATTTACGTTGTTTACAGTAGCAAAAAGCTATTTTGATAGCTGGGGCGACTGACTCACTGCCACTGCCGAGACTTTATTGCCGGTGTTGTCATGATGATGATAGTCTCGAGACTAAAGAGAAAAGTCTGGTGTCGGTGCAGCCTCGGTTTCGTTTTGGTTTCCTATTAAAATCTATTATTCTTCTAGTTATCGTGTAAATTACGACGCTTTTCATTGTCATTTGTGTCTTCCGATTTGTTTTCTGTCCTTGACTCCTTGTGTTGATTTTTGTTACGTTAAAGAAAAGACTAGCGGATTGATAAGAGCACAAAGATCTTTTTTAATCATTATTCTTTAATTATATATGACCAGTATGACATACCCTGAACAAGAATACACCCACATTATTAATAAAGAGTTCTTTAAAAGATTGCTATTGAATTGTTTGCATAGACTACACGTCAACATATAGACTGCTAAGTTAATCAGATCTACTCGAAAAAGAATTATCAGCACTTTTGCCTTTGGTTTACTTCTAAAGCATCGTGTGTAGTTGCTGCTTGTGCCGTGTAGTGATTGGTAGTATTGTGTACCAAAAGAATCCTATATTTCAGAATAATTGTGGTTTTAGTAAGTCCGCTTCCAACTTTAGTTTCTGCTGGGTGATAATTTAATTGAGAAATATCATGTGATCTTCGAGCTTTAGAGCACGACTCGGGGGTTTTTGAGAAGACAGGCGAACGTTAAATACTGTTTTGTTAAACTGTGTCAACTCTGGTAACTCAGACCATTACAGTATTAGTAATCTAACTGAAATCGCAACATTTATTATGCATTAACATTGAACAAGATCAAATGTTCGATCTTTGAAGTATCCTTGTGAGCCGTGATCGCGCAGACGGTGCAGCCCTAATGGTTTATTGATAATTATCAAGGCTTTAATCTTTTCCCAGGTGCAAAGATGGCAGATGATTCGGATCCAGGTCACAAGCTGGTGCGACGGAGTAGTCTTGGTAAGGGTTCTAAAAAGGCGAATGAGCAAGAAAAATACGATGGACGAAATATCATGGATGACATGGCCGGGGTCAGTGATATGGTTTTACTTGATCCACTTACCGAAGACAAACTCACGGAGAATCTTGAGAAACGATTCAAAGCTGGTGAAATTTATGTATGTTCGAACATTTTCTGCGGCTAATTGTAGAGAACAGTCATATTGTACTAGAGATTCCTCATTTGCAAGAGTCTGTATACTGCAAGAGTCTGTATACTGCAAGTTGTAACTGCAAATCATATGCACGATATATTAAAATGAAATAACGCATGCGTACATTGTATAACTTTTACGATCTCTTATTAACCGTAGAAGAATACCACCACGCTAAATTACTGAATATTGTGTTCGTAATTAGTTAATCTGATAGAGTTATCATACACTACAATATTGATTAATTGTTTTCTTGCAATTATTCCAGACATACATAGGAAATGTTGTGGTGTCAGTGAATCCCTACGAGAAACTGTATCTTTATACAAACGAAGTGATAATGGAGTACAGATCAAGAAACATTTATGAAATGGCGCCACATCTGTAAGTATTCCAGAATGATATCTTTCGCACTGCCATCAAGACCATTTTAGAGTAGTGCATGTGTAGTTCTGTCGGAATTGCTCGGGAAGAGATTTTAAATGAAGATTTTTACAGGTACGCAGTTGCTGACTTGGCTTACAGATCAATGCGAGATCACAATAAAGACCAGTGTATTCTTATTACTGGAGAGAGTGGTGCTGGGAAGACAGGTAAACCTGATGTATTGTAAAAGTAGTAGTAATTAGACTAAACTCTTAAGACCAGACTCAGTTGCTGGTTAAAATGTTTGCATTTATAACAATACTTCTGGGAAACGCTTTGTAGAAGCTTCAAAAATATCATGCAGTATGTTGCGGCCGTTTCTGGAAAGGGAAAACAAGTTGAACAAGTTAAAGAACAACTTCTTCAATGTAATCCAATTCTGGAAGGTGAGTTAGCGACATTTGTGTATTATTCTCTTCAATCAACTAGTTAATATAAGGTGATTTTGAATAATATTATTTAGCGTTTGGGAACGCCAAGACATTGAAAAATGATAACTCGTCCAGATTTGTAAGTATTACTTTGCGCATGTGTGATTAATGTTTAGGGTTAGGCCTATAGCTAAATACCGCGGCTGTGTCA